GGGGTTGGAGGGGGATACAATTCAGTCCAATACACTTTTGGTTTGGCTATGGCATCCTTTTCCCTCCCTATCAACTTATTTCTGGTGCCAAGTGACAATATGATATCAGGATCTGGTCTTCGATTCTTCACATTTATGTCAAGATGCCCAGAGAGTTGACTCAGTCACAGTGCTAGTTGGGTCACACAGCAAGAAGTCTGTATACCTTTAAGCCATTTCTAAACTGGGTGGCTAGCAATAACTTGTCTCTATACCAAAGGGACCGCAAAACAGAAAACGATATTATAATAAAGCTCTATGAAATGTATCCTTAACTCAACTTGCTCTTAGGGAGATCCCAGAAACGCGCCCAGCATGCCATCTGACTTGTGGGAAAGTGAGATACAAGAGCAGTTGGAGTAGAAATAAGTGGTCATATTAAATAATTCCAGTTACAGTGTTTACTTTAGCAAATTTTACAAAAGCATATGTCAAATGCACACACTATGAGCTCCTGTCCCAGGGCCTGAGAATGTGCATCTGTACAAGGCAGAGATCCAACTTCCTCTTCTAGTGGGGCAGGTTCTCTTTGTGGGTTGGATGGCATGTCTGCATTTAAGTGGGACAAGGCATATCAAGTTGGGGAGCATCTGCTGTTGTTTTAAAGAATCAGGATGAGGAAAGTTTGCCTGTCACAGTGAGGAGGACTGGAGTGGGTATTTGACATATTCAGGGCCCCTGGTTGTATTTGGGAAACGCTTCTGTATTTAGGGAGAGTTCCACATTAGGAATCCTGCCTTCTCTCAAACACTCAGCATCTCTGGAAGCTAGCAGTCAGGCTTGTGCTCTGGCCTTACACTCCCAGGTGAGCGACCGATTCAGAGGGGAGCAGAACAGCCCTCCCACTTGGCTGGTGAAGGCGCTGCAGGGATTGCCAAGGGTCAGCTGCTGACACGCAAGAGGCCTCAGGGATGGAGGCAGAAGTGGACGCAGGGTACCGAGTCCCTGGCCTTCGTGTTTGACGGGGCAGGCATCAGTGCTCTCCATGAATTCTGGTGTTCCTCAAAGTTTACCTTGAGTCTATTTTTTCAACAATCCCAAGAAGTACCTGACAAGTTTTAAATGCTTGTTTTTCTGCTTCAACGACTGACACAGAATTTTGTTGTTTGCAACAATGCTTGTACATTACATTTTCACATATTAAAAATGCTCACCCCAACTTACAATAAAACAAATATAAACTGTAAATGCATGCTGTTTTCAACTGTCAGATTGACAAAGACAGAAATTGTGGTTTGTTGAGTGATACAGGTAAACATATTACATCCTTCCCTCTCGTGTATTACTGTTTGATATAATGTTTTTCTTCAATAAAAATTTTTAAAAATTAAATAGTGCCTTCCAAAAGAGGTAACCCACATTCCCATTCTCACTTTATGTGTTTCTATATTTATGTATTTATTTATTTTGAAAGGGAGAGAGGGAGAGAGGGAGAGAGTGTGGGCAAGTGGGGGTGGGGCAGAGAGAGAGAGGGAGGGATAGAATACCAAGCGGGCTCTACACTGTCAGCACAGAGCACAACGCAGGCCTCTAACTCATAAACTGTGAGATCATTACCTGAGCCGAAACCAAGAGTCGGACACCCAACTGACCGAGCCACCTAGGCCCCTCCCCTTGCCATTCTCATTTTCATACCTTTCTAGGATCCTGTCATATACTTTTCACTCAACAACAGCTTATATCCTAAAATAAAAAAAAATAAAGATTTTATAGCATTATTCTACAAACACAAGTTTTAGCAAAAAAAGGAAAAAATTGTATTTCCTAACTGATTCTCTAAGAAGCAAAAAACAGAGCACACTAGCAGTAACTATTTTTTTTAAGATACTGCAGGAAACACAAAGATGTATAGAACTATTTTGAGGTACTGAGAAGAGTTGTAATATAGTTGAGAAAGAAGATATAATCACATAACCAGTTGAATACTAATAAAATATTTAAATGTAACTTGAAGCCAACAATGAAGGTCAAGTCACAAAGCTATAAATTATTAATTGTCAAATTAATCCTAGGGACAGTATGAGTTCAGAGGAGACTGTTGGATAATTTACTGTGGTGACACAAGCTACCCTAAAATTTAGTGGATTAAAGTGACAGCGCTATCTCCCAATCCTGTGGGCCAAGAGTTGGGGCGGGGCTTAGCTGGCCAATTCCTCTCCACGGAATATCAGCTGGGGTCACTGCACGGTACTCAGCTGGGGACTGACCTTGCCTAAGGCTCCAAGAAGAGACTGTCACAAATGTAGCACCTTCCTGCTCTTTGGCCTCTCTCCACCCGGCATCTCATTGTTCCTGTCCCTCTATGCAGTTTGGGCTTCTCACAGCATGTTGATCTCAAAGTAGTCACACGTCTTTCCTGGCATCTGTCTTGCAAGAACGAGGAGGAAGGAAGAAGATGCTCTTGTGGTTTGGATTTGGAAACTCACACAATGTTACTTTTGCCCTGTTCAATAGACCAGAGAAGTCACAGAGACCAACCAGCCAGCTTGAAGAAGGGAAACACGGGACTCTGGTTTCCCCTCAGTACTCCACATGGTGAGGACTAGTCAAAGTATTTGTGGCCATGTTTAATTCATCATGAAAGAAAAGGTCAATTTGGACTAGAAAGGTCAGAAAAAGCTATACAGGAAAAGTATTACAGACCCTGGTTTTAAAGACTATAGAACGTTTGAAAAAACGAAGTTGAGATAAGGTAAAAAATATCAACTATCTAAATATAAAGCAGGTAACAATGGGGAAAAGACTGTCAAAAGACTTAGCAGAACAAGGGGTGCCTGGGTGGCTCAGTCGGTTAAGCAGCCAGCTTCAGCTCAGGTCATGATCTTGCGGTCCGTGAGTTCAAACCCTGCATCAGACTCTGTGCTGACAGCTCAGAGCCTGGAGCCTGTTTCAGATTCTGTGTCTCCCTCTCTCTGACCCTCCCCTGTTCATTTTCTGTCTCAAAAATAAATAAAGGTTAAAAAAATTTTAAAAAAGACTTAGCAAAACACGAATTATATTTCTTTCTCAATTTATCTTGCTGTAACAACAAAAGCAATTGCCTCAGCTTGGGCAAGTCCCTTTTTCCTGTTCACCAACACATTGATTCAACCGAGAAGATAATTTTTCCTTAAACAAGGTCAGCTCATCTGAAATAAAGTGAATTTGGGCCTATTTCCCAGGAACACCTGGGGAAGGTCAGTCAATGTTCAGCTTGTTTGGAAAAGTGCTTGCTGTTCAAACTCCGAAGGTATAGACAAATGATTGTAGTTAATCCTGAGACAGGATTCAGGGCAGCAAGACAGGGGTGTGATTTAGTAACCATTGATCAGGCAATTTGGGTTTAGCAAGTATGGTCAAGGTCCCAAGAGAGTCCATGATGTAAAATCTTAATCCTACAGGGTCTCTTATAATGCTTTGTTTAGAAAGGGTTAATCATTATAACCATAATTTTCTCACTGAGAAGATTTTTTCCTGAGATTTGTAGTTCATAAATAAGTAGTTCTCTAGTGTGTGTGTGTGTGTGTGTGTGTGTGTGTGTGTGTGTTTAATGTTTATTTTTGAGAGAGTGCAAGCGGGGGAGGGGCAGAGGGAGGGGGACAGAGGATCTGAAGTGGGCTCTTTGCTGACAGCAGCCAGCAGAAAGTGGGGCTTGAACTCATCATGACCTGAGGGAAGTGTGACCTTCAACTGACTGACCCATCCAGGTGCCCCCCATGCAGCCTATTCTGAACCCAGTGCCTGGTGCTTGGCAGATTTTTTAATATTAATTTGATATTAATATGCTTAATGAATTGTATTACTCATATTCTCTTAACACCAATTTAAATAATCTACACTCCTCTGAAATTTTGCCTATATAATACTGAACCGGAAACAGGCATACTTTATAAGTACACCAATTAAAACGTAACCATTCCTCAGTAAAGTGAGCATCGCTCTCTCGTTTAGCGCTTCCGTTTTCAAAATTTGTGTCTCGCATCTTCTTTAATTTTTTTTGACATTGATATAAAATGAACTTATGAGTATCAAATCTGGCATTCCCAAAACAAAGGAAAAGGGAACAAGATTCATGAGAAATACTTAAAATCTTTTCATGTGTTCTAACACCCTGGAGAATCATAAGGTCTTACTGCCTCTTATGTTATAACATAGATTTCTCCTCCCCTCTCTGATGGCTTTTAGTTTGACTTTATTTGGTGGGGAGCACTGAAAATCCCAAACTACAGTCTTGCCGGGTTAGAAGTAGTATTATCTTAAAACTGTGTTCGAGTTTGACGAAGGTCAACAGGCTTGTGCCATTTACACAGTATCTGCTTTCGGTAGTTTCTGTTTCTTGACCTCTAGGTGGCTCCTTAAAAGCTGTTAGGCAAAGCAAACAAAAGCAAAAGAGAAGCAGACTCAGTGGGGCCTTGGGACTCGGAAACCTTAATCTAGAGAGAACCGGTTAAGCCTTCAGAGACCGGAGGGGAGGGTGTGTGCGATTGGAGAGCAGAGTCGTCCGGGATGCAGGGCAGCTGGAGAGCGCCTACCACCTGCGCAAACATAAATCTCCTTAATAACCCAGGGATGTCCCGGGGGGAGCGGGAAAGTGTTCTCCATCCTCTCATGTGTGTCATCAAATAAGTGACCGCTGCTTCAGACGAACTGCACAGAATAGTCTGTAGATGTATATACATGTGTGCACACATTAGGAGTTTCAAGCTCTCCTCCCGGACACGGGCTGGACATCACCTGCCGCGTCTGTAGCAGGCTCCCTCCGAGCCCTGCCAGAGCCGGGAGGGCGGAGGCAGGAGAGGCTGCGGCGCGGAGGTGGCCACTGCACAGCCGGACGCGCCTGCCGCGGCCAGCGTGCTGCATAATTGATGGAGGACCGCGCGCAGCCCTGGGTCGGCGGCGGGCGCGGCGAGAGCGTCTCAGGGGAGGAGGGCAGGGCGCCTGGGCCCCTCCCACTCTGCTTTTAGTCGCGCGCCCCGCCCCGGGGACTAGCTGCTGGCGCCGGGGTACCGGCGACAGTGCGCAGGGCCTTCGGCCACCGACGGCGGAGCGCGAGGACCGCGGCTGACCCGCCGGAGCCATGCGCGCCCCGTCCGGCCTGCTGGGGCCCCGGGGGCCGCTGCCGCTGGCCCTCTTGTGTCTCCTCGCCGCGGCGCGCGGGAGCTTGGCGGAAGGCCAGCCCTCAGGTGCGATGGCTGCAGGGCCGAGTTGGGGAGGAGGGTGCGCTGCAAGGGACGCGCGAGCCTCCGTCCCCGTGGGGAGAGGCGTTGGTGGGGAGAGGCGCGGGGATGCTGGGGACCGCGCGCGGGTGCGGAGCGGCGGCCGCCTCCGTCCTTTGGCCAGCTTGGGTTGTCCAAGCTGGACGGGAGGACTGGGGCGGCTCGGGCTCCTCCGCTCCGGGGAGGGAATCTTGGAACCGAGAGCGCCCCGCGAGTCGGGGGCGTTGGTAGCAGGACGGGTCTGGGTGTTCCTGGGACGAGGGCGGCACGGTGTGGGGGTGCGAGCGGGAGCAAGGAACTCGCTCCGCTAAAGTGCCAGGATTTCTGAAAGCCACATTCCCCGAGGCCAACTCCCTTCGCTGGAATCGATAGTAGGTTTAAATATCACCTCCCTGCCTGGCAGGTGGGCTGGACTTGAGGATGTTTTTTAGAGCTGAGTTGAAATAACAACGTAACCACAACCGATCAACCAAAGCTCCCCGCTCATTGGGTAGTGTGTGTATCTTCTTTTAAACACCACGGTCTCTGAAAACGAACGTTTTGCGGGTTTTGTTTTAATTGTTTCAGACACTTTGAAACAGGGATCTGTGTGCAAAACATTACCGAAACCAACACCAGATTTGGCATTGTAGTTTCACCTGTTTATAATCACTTGCCATGTTGAAAGTATTTCATCCAACCTACTTTCTAATGCAGGTTTCTGTGTTACAAATTTCAAAGTGTTAGCAGCTAATTAGGAGAATAGACTGCCTTTCAGGTTGACAGATACTGCCTATCACCAACTAAAATTAAGATAGTATGCACAAGATTTTCCACCTTTATGAGCTTATAGCATGTAGATTTTTTTTGTAACATAAAGATGGAAAGATAATCAAAGGATAAGATTTTTCAGTTTTTTACATGTCCTTTAAAGGGTCTAGTTGTTAACTTGGACAAAGCATTATGGATTGCTTCAGTTCCTAAATTTCCTTGCCCCACTTCCTAGCCACGTACCTCTTTTTCATTCCTACCACTTATAAAGAGTGGTCAAGGACTTTTTACCCCACCCCCCACCCCCCACCCCCTTGCCATTCCTGATTCACCCCTGGTTCACCTGAGACTGTTGCAGCTCTGAGGCCCATTGCATTCTGAGTAAGTCCTATGGTTCTCCACGTGGTTGTATGTTAAAATTATCTGGGAGCTTTACAAATACTGGATCCTGCCTTCAAAACTTTTGATTCAGTTGGCCTGGGATTTGGGCTGGACATCAGGTATTTTGAAAGCTCCCGTGTGATTTAATCAAGAGATCCTAAGCTGGTTTTCAACGCACTGCTTTAAAATTGCGGTGGCCTAGAGAGTGCACCATTGGGTGAATATTTATATGCTGTTGGTAGCAGGGAGTCAGGTTTAAGTTGACATTCAGAGCAGACTTCTAAAGAGAAAAAAGTAGGGAACAAATGAAAGTGGGTTAAATTAACAAAGTTGTAAATAATTGGGATGGTGTATGTAGGTATGGCAATTGTCTGTGTATGTATATAGTGTCAGTCCTGGCCTTTCACCTCCGCTTAGGCGAAAACTGTAGAATGATGTGCTGTATAAAAGGCATGAAGTTAGCATCTCATTTTAAGGCAGGATTAAAAATCGTGAAGCGACCTCATTTTATTCTATAGAATCTCTTTTGATCTCTGGGAGATTCAGTTTTCTGTTTGCTAAAGGCTATTGTGACGTTTACTGACTATTTTTTATGTAGGTGCTTTGAATTACTTGGAAATAGGTATTCTATAAGCCTAAGAGTTTGGGCAAAATTTTAATAATAAACATGGTTATAATTTATCATATTTACTATATAACAAGTGCGCCAGGCATTACACTGTGCAGTATATAACCCTATGGGTTAGCTTTTATTGTCCCTGACTTTTCAGATGAGGACATTGGAATTTAGGGAGATTAAACAACTGCCCAAGTATATATAATTATTTAAGCAGTAGAATAGGAAATTAAGCATTGTTCAGTCTGACTCCAATGCCTGTTTTCTTTATTTTTTAATTTTTTAAAGTAAGCTCTAAGCCCAATGTGGGGCATGAATTGTGACCCTGAGATGAAGGGTCGCATGCTCTACCAACTGAGCCAGCCAGGAGCCCCCTCCAATATCTGTTTTCTTAAACACAATATTCACTCGTCTCTCTGAGATAACTGGGTATGTCTATGAAAGTTTGGAACCACTGACAGAACACGGTGTATGGATTTAAATGCTTGATTTCAGCTGAAGAGCATGCTAACACACTTTGAGTTCTAGAATAAAGTTAGACAAAGGGACTCACTTTAATTCTTTTAAGCTGTTTCAATTAAATAAGAAATGTAAAATCACTTTATTAAAGCAAATATTAGATAAATGGGAATATTTAAACATCATTAATATTACTCTTATTTGGAACAAATTGAGGGGATGGGTCATGTGTATTTTTTTTTTATTTTTTTTTACATTTATTTATTTTTGACAGAGACAGAGCACAAGTGAGGGAGGGGCAGAGAGAGAAGGAGACACAGAATCCAAAGCAGGCTCCAGGCTCTGAGCTGTCAGCACAGAGCCCGACAGGGGGCTTGAACCCACAAACTGTGAGATCGTGACCTGAGGTAAAGTTGGGCGCTTAACTGACTGAGCCACCCAGGTGCCCCGAGTCGTGTTTATCTTTTGAAAAATATGTTTGCAATGCAAGGGAAACATTTGAAGTGATCATTTTTAACTTCTGGGGCACCTTGCTTATATACTTTCTTGATTAACCACCTTCCTAGAGATAGGAAGGAATCAAGAGATCTCTTGATAGGAAGAGGTAGGAAGAGATAGGAAGAGCTCAACTACCTTTCTAGAAATACTCCCCATCCCACATATACAGCAACCACCTAGTAATAAATATTTGTGAGAACGGGTATTATTGAACCACCTACATGTGCCTGACATTGTGTTAGTCTAGATCTAAGTAGAAAACTTCAGCAATATTTTTTAGCAGTTTTGAGTCATTTCTTTAAACTGTTTAAAGGAACAGATTAACTATAAGCTTATGTTTAATAGAGTTATATCTGATGCATCAAACTTTTGAGCCTAAATTATCATCACATTTAAAATTATATAAGCATTTGTTAAGAATTAGTTCTTGGCTCTTCCTCTTCCTGTTCTTTGGTCCCCACCTCTTGCTCCCATCTCCTCCTCTTCCTTCTAGGAATGGGTTCTATAGTCATTAGGTTGGGGAATGCGGGGAGGCAAGCTCCCTTATTAGAGGAAGCCAGAGGGTCCCAGGTCAGGGAATTAGAAAGTGGGCCAGGTCAGGATGGCATCCAGGTAGGGGAGCAGCCTCGTGTGGAGTGTTAGAGCCCGAGTACGTTGAGATGTGTCCTCCTGCAGAGGGGTGGCCTAGAGCCAGGTCTCAGAGCTGAACAGCGTGACAGGGGCTTCAAAGCAGGGGCAGCCGGACATTGTGCTGTCTGATCTTGATCAGGGGGGTGTAGGGAAAGCACACAGAAGAGCCAACAGTGCAAGATGTTGGAGCCCAAATGGGTGAGGAAAACATTTCTTTGGGGCCAGGAGTGGCTGTGGCAGTGGGAGATTAGTTACATACAAGAGGATTGAGCAAATAAGTAGAATGAGTAAGAATAATAGGATGTAGGTTTTTCTCTTACAGCAGAAGGAAATAAAGAGGGGAAACTAGAATGAACCTTGCAGTGTTGGGTTGCAATTGACAGCATTAGCGTGAATTCATGACTTTAAATCTATTTGTCTTTTATGTGTGTGTCTATATAAACAGATGCATAGATATAGATGTGTATATGTAAGTATACATATAACGCATATACATCACATATATTTATATATGTATGTACACCTTTCACATATATTTATTTATGGTGTGTGTGTGTGTGTGTGTGTGTGTGTGTGTGTGTGTGTGAATATACACATGCATTAGCTCTGCCCACATAGGTGGGGACCACTGATTTCTCAATTGTGATGACCATACTTAGCAGCCAAATCTTGACTCTATATATGATTCTTTACTAATGGGTAACTAGGACTTCCTGGAAAAATGACTTATTTTACAAAAAGGGAACAGAAAGTATAAGGTAAACCCTGAACTTCTTGTGCCAGAAAGCAATGAAGTGCTCAAAGAATGATGGGCCGTGTCAAAAAGATACAAGAGCCAGAGAGTTCCCAGTGGACAAACCTGGGACAAATTGAGCATCAAAATAAATGATAATAATAATGGACTAGTATCCATTAGTATCCACTGGAGAATGCCCACTGAATAATATAGGTATTCATGAGTACATACTGATATAAATTAATTAAATGAATCAATTGGAAGTTTGATGAGGCACAAAATATTACATAATTTTAAATTTTTTTTTCAACATTTATTATCTTTGGGACAGAGAGAGACAGAGCATGAATGGGGGAGGGGCAGAGAGAGAGGGAGACACAGAATCGGAAACAGGCTCCAGGCTCTGAGCCATCAGCCCAGAGCCCGACGCGGGGCTCGAACTCACGGACCGCGAGATCGTGACCTGGCTGAAGTCGGACGCTCAACCGACTGCGCCACCCAGGCGCCCCAATATTACATAATTTTAAAGTAACTTCCCACAGAATTGGTGAAGTTGTATTAATGAAAAGGTAAAGAGAACAACTTTACAGTGGAGAAGCCTTTAATCAAATGATCAAAGTGAAAACCATCAGCAAAGAGAGGATTACAAATTGTGGGGGCGCCTGGGTGGCTCAGTCGGTTGAGCGTCCGACTTCAGCTCAGGTCACCATCTCACGGTCCGTGAGTTCGAGCCCCGCGTCGGGCTCTGGGCTGATGGCTCAGAGCCTGGAGCCTGCTTCTGATTCTGTGTCTCCCTCTCTCTCTGCCCCTCCCCCGTTCATGCTCTGTCTCTCTCTGTCTCAAAAATAAATAAATATTAAAAAAAAAATTGTGAGCCATGTGATAGGATGCAATGAG